AGCACCCCCAGGATGGGGGTTACCCGTGGGGGTCCCGGCCCCGCTGTGGGGCAGCTCTGGGCACAGGCTCGGTGCCATTTAGCTGTGCGGGACATGGCAGGACACACAGTTATAGCAGAGGGGACACTGCGGGGACAGAGGTCACAGGGGACACCGAGCCCCCACTGACCCGAGCCAGCAGCCAGGGCTGGGAGCAGGAACAGGTTTGGGAATGGGCAGAGGAGAGATCCAAGCTGTGCTCTGGGATATGAACAAAACCTGCTTTTCCTATCGCTGTGAATGCACCAAGATCAACAAAAATCAAAATTAAATTCACTGAAATCAAAGCAGGCACACGACAAGAGGCAGCAGCACTCCCAGAGCAGGGCAGAGGAGCCCAGGACCCTTCAGGGGAAGGCAGGCCTGAAATCTCCACTCATGACTGCCCAGGTGCCCAAAGCACTTCCCGTTCCTGCTGCTCCTGGCAAAGGCCAGCAGCTCCAAACCCAGTGTTCCCAGCCCAGACCCAGACTTCTCCAGGGCACCCAGAGCTACCTGCCCATCTCCAAACACACAGAAACTCCTGCCAGCCCCCAGCACCCATGGCAGACCCCAAATGCAGCCCCAGAGCCCCTCAGGAGCTCAGCTGTGGTCCCTGACCCTCTGGCCATGGATCCGCTGTCAGTCAGAGTCCCTGGGCAGCTGCTGGTGGCAGTTTGGTTCCTGCAGAGCCAGGCAGAGGCAAGGCAAGGGAAAGGAAGGGAAGGGAAAGGAAGGGAAGGAAAAGCCCCGCGGCTGGGCAGGGAACGGCCTGTGCAGGAGCTGCGCGGGCTGGACAGGCTGAACTGCCCATAAAACCATTCCTGCTCCATGGAACACGGCATCACAGCACCCTGAGAGCCCCCTGCCCTGGGGGGACAGGGCAGAGCCACAGGGGGATGCTGGGGATCTCAGGGAGCAGGAAACCTCTCTGTGTTTGGGGTGAGGTGTGGGTGAGCACACATTGGGCTTGTCGTGGCCACACAGCAGCTGAGCACAACAGGACTGAAAAGTCCCCAAAAGCCCCTTCCTGGCTCCCAGCTTGGAGCCAATTCCCAGCCCTGGTGCCACAGGGGGGTGACAGCAGCTCTCTGTGACCCCTCTGGCACCGTGAGAATCCTCGGGTGAGGGTCAGGGGCTCCCCAGCCCTGCTGTGCCCTGCACCCCAAGGTCTCCAGGGAGCAAATTACTGGTGAGTGTTCCCCCTGTGCTCAGCTCTCCCACCTCTGAGGGTCAGTGGTACCTGCCCACCACTCCCTGCACCCACAGGTAGTGGTCCCTGATCTCCCCAAAATTCTCCAGATCCCAGGAGATGGCAGAGACACCAAACCCATGG